GGGGCGCGCCGCCGCCGCGCGCCGCCGCCACCGCCGCCTCCCGTCCGCCGGCCTCGAGCGCCACCCGCTGGCGGCGCGGGGGATGGCGGCGCGGAGCGGGGTCGGTGCGGGGTGACGGCCCCCGACGGCGACGCGGAACGGGAGCGGAGGCAGAGGGGCGCGGGCGGGCGGCGGGGCAGCCCAGGGGCAGCGAGGGGAGCGCCTCGCCGCCTCCGCGGGGTGATGCTCGTGCGAGGCGGGCAGCGATCGCCGCGTGCTCCGTCCCCGGCGCTGGCGGCGGTCACGTCCCTCGCACCATCCGCGTTACGATATGTGTTTTTTTGTACCGTTTTCCCGCGGCGGAGGTTTCGAGAGGCGAGCGGGTCCCGCCGCTCCGCAGCGGCAGGTAGCTCTGTGGGATGAGAGCTGTGCGGCGCTTCCCTAGCTAGCGGGCGGATCGCAGGCGGTCGGTGTCGGTGCTACTTTTCTGCCTCCCAGCAAAAAAAAAAAAAATACTATAAATCCTTTGGTGGCCATTTTGCAGTAGGATTTTGGAATCTAGCTTGTGAAATGTTGAGAGCGGTAGCCCAAATTGCGCTGCCTCCCGAACAAAAGAGCCTCGGTGCGCACACAAGTGGGTTTGTGCACAGCCTCACAGCACACTTACACGCAAACAATACAACATATAGAGATAGAACATACATATCAACCGCTGCAATTCTGTTCCTTACACAGAACCCGAAATGGAACCATGCTATCGCAGCTGTATCTCTTTAAAATATCTTTTTTTTTCCCTATTTTTTTTTTCTTTTTTTTTTTTTTTTTTCCCCAGTGCTAGGAAATGCGGATGTAAATTAAGGTACCACAAAGCGGGGAAAAATATCCCCGAGATAATACTATCGACTCTTTCCTTTTAGTTCAGAAGATGGTAAGGGACAACAAAATAAAATAAAAAAGAAAGAAAGATGGATCCGAACCCTCGAATCCCCAAGAAATGAAGTCCATAATTCAGTGCAGAGCTGAGCTCACTGAAATCTCAGTGCGAGCTCAAAGGGAACCACAGAAATTCGCCCCTTCAAAGCCTCTCCTCTCTCTCGTCCTAAAGTTTGTCACCGAGCTCTTACTCGGTTTCAGTAGTGCAGACTGGGGTCAGTTTAGTGGCATTTAGAAGTGTCCCTGCAATTCATTTTCGCATTATCAGCAAGCTTATACCCAAGTTTTTATACAACGATTTTTTTACAATGATTTTTTTCTGCTTTTTTTTCTACTTAAATATCCTACAGTCGTGTAAAACTTTTTTTTCCCCTCCCCTACGGACCATAAAATCCTGAACACATAGTATCGAGGCAGCCCGATGTAGCGGGAGCTGGTAAAAAGATAAACCCGAGATTTTCTACCATCTCTCATATTTCTACAGCATGAATGTTCACAATCACACACGCACGATAATAATAACCGTCCCCCATGGGTCGGTTCTCACACAGGCACTCCAAGGACACTCTCACGCACGCAGATAAATACCCAAATATTTTACAACCTGGGCCAGGTCTCTGAATGTTTTAAGCAACGCCATCTACTCGTGGCAGAAGCGGTTCTTATCTATGTACACGGCCGTAGCTCGAAAGCTCAGACTTGTGCATGTCTTAGAGCAAGTCCCGGCTGATCGCAGATGTACATCAGCCTGTGGGGATTAATAGGCTGTGACAAACCTATGCGATTTTAGTAGCAGAAGGAGCACAAGGTAAATAACAATATAACAGCGAGCGCTAAGGACGGGCCTGGTAGCATTTATTAAACACGGTTCTACTCCCCTGACTTTTCCTCTGTTTCGTCGCTGCCGGGCTGTGTGGAATTTATGAATTTGTTTTCCTTTTTCCATTTCATCCGCCTGTTTTGAAACCATATTTTAATCTGGCGCTCGGTAAGGCAGAGAGCGTTCGCAATCTCAATGCGTCGTCTTCGGGTTAAGTATCTGTTAAAATGGAACTCCTTCTCTAACTCTAGCGTTTGGTAGCGGGTGTAAGTCTGCCTCCCTCGTCTCCCATGAGCTCCATACACTGTACCTGCAGAAGTAAAGACAAAACGAGCGTGTTGGACAGGGCCCAGTGCTTTCAGACCACAAAGCCGTACCGCTTTTCGCGGGGGTGTGGGGGTGGGGGAGGGGGGGGGGGAGTGGGAGAGGAGGGGGCCTCTGGGGCTTTTTTGTCCCCCTTTCTTCCTGCCTGAACGGCTGAGGGTGCGGACGTGCTCATGGGGTGGCTGTGATACAAAGGGGCAGTAAGGTGGGGGCGGGAGGGGGGGAGAACTGTAGGTAGCACCCTACTCGGGTGCAGGGAAGCTGCGTGCACACACACACACATACACACACACGTGTGCAGGCAGGGCTGTGCGTGTGTGCACGTGTGTGTGCGTGTGTGTGCTGACACAAACACGCTCTATTGCTCTATAGCTACAGAGGAGCTGTAATTTAAGCATAATGATAGACATCAGCTAAAGATCATAGAACGGCCTTTGCCATTTGCTCCGGAATTTATTGCCCTCCAATGCAAAGCAGCATCAGAATGGTCCTGCTAAAAGTTTAACTTCCCCCTTCACCCCCCCCCCCCCCCCCCCCCAAAAAAAAAAAAAAAAAAAAAAAAGAAATACAACCCATAGTCCAACGACCATAAACGCGGGAGGGGTTCTCACTCCGGGACTCATTAGCAAATAATGCAAGCAAATGTGATAATGGGATTATCAAAAATAGGTGCCTCCCCGATAGGACCCCTCCTTTCTCCAGCACCACTCCTAGCCAGAACGGTTCGATCCCATGCAGTTCACTTTGTAAGGCAGAGAAAATCTGCGATGCCATGGGAGTGCGGCCCCGAAACGTGCTCTCAATATCCAATACTAATGAGCTGGGGGAGGGGGGCGATGAGGAATGTGCCACAAATGCATTGGACCCTCAGTGCAGAGGGCATATTCCTTGCATCGCTCTCTGACAATGAAGGAGCCGAGCTTTGGGGTGGCTTTAGAAGAGTGGGGAAAGGGCTTTGCTCCGTCCCTTCTATTGCCATTATTTTTTTGCCCATTTCATCAGGCTGGGCTCCCGGCCGCTGCTCCCAGGGTGCCAGTATGCCAGGTCCTATCCGAGCGGGTGCCTGCGGAACCATTGCCCCCCCGGCAGCCCGCAGTTTACCTAAAACAAACAACCAAAACAAACAAACAAAAAAAAAAAATCCGGGGGAAAGAAACTTTTGGTTCCCCTTCCCTTCGGCTGCGCTCAGTCACTTACCGGCACAGGAGTTCATCCGCTGCATCCAGGGGTAAACAGGGCTCGTGTACTTCCGGTCGGTGCCCTCGTCATTCACAATTTTGCTTTGCACGCCGTTGGATTTGTATTGTTGCTCGGAAGAAAAGTGCAGATAGTCCCCGTGTCCCCTCTGCTTGCCACTGCCGGAGGGAGAGGCGCTACTTATTTCCTTGTCTGAATAGAAACAGGAGGCTCCGTACTCATAGGAAGCCCGATTGCAAGCAATGACGGTGTTGGACTGTTGGTAGAAACAAGGTGAGGTGTAGGTCTTGTCCTGCAGGCTGTTCGCCCCGTACGAAGCCGGAAAATGCCTCAGAGCATCATAGCCCGCCGGGTACAGGGGGATCTGCCCGAGGAAGGAGTCCTGGCCAGCGGGCAGGCTCCCGGGGAAAGTGGGATTCACGAAATAGGAACTCATTTGCTCTCCCCTCTCCCGGACCGTGATTTGTTGTGTATTAGTACATCTGGCTATAACTATTAGTAGTCATCGAAGTGGTTTGTTTCTGGATGGCCGAGCGCCAAAAGCGACAGCAGAAAATAGGAGCAGCTGACGGCGGGGCGGCCAATGGGAGCGCGAGCGGCGCCCGCTCCCCCGGGGCCGCCGCCACCGCGCTGCGAAGTTACCGACAGCCCCGGCCCCGCCGCGCCGCCCCGCGCCGCCCCGCGCCCACGGCCCGCGGGGACCGACCGCGCCCCCGCCCGGCGGACCGCCCCTCGGGGATCCCGCCGTGAGAACGGCGGCGCGCGGGTGACAGCGGGGGACGCGGAGCCCCCTCCTTCGGTGGTCGGAGGGAGGAAGGGGGGCCGCGGGGGGGTAGTAGGAGAGAGGAGCCTCCCGTAAAAGTTGTCGCCGCGCAGCGCCGAGGAGGAGTGGGCGATCGCCGGGCCCCGGCCCTGGGGAGGGGGCGGGCGATGATGGATGCTGCCGAGGGAAAGTTTGGAGAGTGGAAGGGGCAGCGCGGCGCCGGAGGGGCTCTGCCGGTGGGAGAGAGACCGCACCCAGCCGCAGTCCCCACCTCGGCGCTGGGGCCGAGGCCGCCGGGCTGGAGGTGATGTGCTGAAATCCCCCCTCGGATGGGGCTTCCCGCCCAGGCGCGCCAGCTTTGTGTGAGGCTGCGCCTCCCGCGTGGGCCCGGTCCCGGGTGTTAATGAGCGCTCCGGCAGTTAACGGCGAGCTGTGGGCCCGAGCGGGGAAATGCGGCCTGCGGGGAGGGGGTGTTCCGCTCCAGTGTCCGAGAACGGGCTGAGAAGGGACGGGCGATCCCCCGCTCACAGCCCCGATACACCTCCACGTGTCGGCCATCCTCACTCCCCACCCCGGCCGCTGCCAGGCCGAAGGAACCCAACATCCGAAACCAACAACGAGCTGGCGGGACTATCCCTAATTAATAAAGGCCTGCTAACGAGTCAATAGAAGCCAATCGCTTTCGTCGTAGCTTTAAAATAATTCGATTAAACACAAATGTGTGTCTTTAAGAGAGAGGGGAAAAAAAAAAAAAAAAAAAGCCAACAACGCGAAACAAACATTTCCACGTTCATTTTTCAACATGGCAGTTACCAGTAGCGGAAATCTCACTCCCGGCCCAGGGCTGGGATAGTAATAGTGCTGATGAAATTCGCCGCGATGCGCACGGCGGAGCCGTAACCCCGCGGTTCCTGAGGAGGAGGGCACACCCCGAGCCGTGCGTGTTCCCGTTACAACACAGCCAATATCCTATTTTTAAACGCTCTCCGCCGGAAAGTGGTATTCGTGCGAGCCCCGTTTCCTAAAGCAGCTTTAACCCGAGAGTTCTGTTGTTGTCGGAGGACTATTTATCTCATTTCCGGGGGCTGATTACGATACCTATAAAACAGCAGCGAGTTAAAACGTCGCCCCACAATAGTTCGTATTGTTCGCGGCCTCAGCTGGACTTTCACATTCAGATGTTGATTGCCTCCAATTTTTTTTTTCAACTTCCTTAAACTCCCGGTGCCGGCCGACCCGCGGCCACACCTGGCAGAACGCCGGCTCTGAGCTGCGGGCTCATTGGGAAACGCGTGTTTCCCTTCCCCAGGAAAGTTTTGTGCTCTCTGCAAATAGGGCTATAAAAAGGGGGAACGGCAGCAGCCCAGCACCCAGCGCGGTGAGCACAAAGAGGTTTAAAACGAGAGGATTTCTCCCAACGTGGGGCAGAACGAAAACGCGCCATGAAACATCAATATTCGGGGCGAGCAGAGTGCAGCGGCCCTACTTTAAAAAGTTGTGCTCGGGCGGCCTTTGTGTGAATCCACCGCACGGAGACCAACGTTTAAAAAGTCTCGCAAGGCTCTCTTTTATTTACGTTTTGCAGCATTGCTTGTGCACTGATTTATTTCTCTCTCTCTCTTTTATTTATTTCTTTTGGTTTTTCCTTCTCTGCCTCGAGTTATCGCTCGCATCCAAACCGAACCGCCCACATCCCGGCCGCGGGCAGCGAAACCATTTCTTCGTTGCCCTCATAACATTCGAAGGCACTCAGCGCTCTCTGTGCGGCCGGGCCGCGGTCTGAGCCATTTCGGTGACAGCCGAACGCTCGGCGCTGCGCTCAGTGCCGCACTCATATCTGCACGTCCTCTGCGCTCCTCCCCCTGCCTTCGCGCACCCCGAATACCGGCACCCCGAGTTCTGCCTGCCCGGCCACATTCACTGTAGTTTTCCTGCAGGGAAGCAGAAGGCAGCCGCAGCATTTTGCCACAGAGCCCGCTCTTCAGCCCCCGGTATCTGCCGGCCGTGCGTTTGTTTGCAAAGCTCTCCGCATCCCGCGTACCCTTCTCTTCATCCACAGGTACAGGTGCGGGAACACTTCCCCTCCTCACCCCAAAATCCTCCTTCTCCTCGTGCACAAAACCTCTTAGAAACCATTCTGTGCTCGGCAGCGTTCCCTTCCCCCCGCCCCCGCTCCCAAGCCTTTAACCAAGAGCTCGAATCCAAGCGCTCCGGGCCGGCCAAGTGGCCGCTCTGACCCGAGGGACACTTGGAGGCAGCCCGGGGGGCACAGACCGAGGGCCGCCCTCGGTTCACGCACAAGCACACACACACACACCGAGGGCACAGCGAAGGGAGGGAGCAGCGCGATATCGGCCCACGGGAGCGATGCTCCGTAGAGGTGCGGTAGGCAGGATTTCATTGTTAAAAATATATCTCTTTTTTAATATTTTTTTTTTTTGATGGGGGGAGGCTGGGGTTAAGCCCCTGCGCGGTGCCGGCAGCAGCGGCGCAGTCTCCCGGCGCTGGCCCGCGCCCTGTGCCCGCCTCCGCTGCTCGGCCACGCCGTGGCAGCACTGAGCACCGCCGCCCGCAATAAATAATCCGCCGCTCGCCGCAGCCCCACTCCGCCGGGTACCGCAATGCAATACAAATGCGAGGCTTCGGCGGCACAAACAGCGCTGCGAGCCGCTCATCCGTGATGGCTGTCACCGAGGGGCGGCGGCGGGGGCCCGAGAGCTTTCCCCGGGGGTTGGGGGTTAGAGGGCCCGCGCCCTCTCCCCGCTCACAGCGAGGGGAGAATGAGTTCGGCTCCGCGATCCCCGCACCGCTCCGCGCAGCCGGGCTGAGCTCTGCCGCCGCCCGAGCGCTGCGCCACGGCTCCGCGGCGACCATCCAAGAGACACAACCAAAGGCACAGCCGCGTTCAGGGCAGAACCTTCCGCCGGACACAGCAGCGTCGCGCCGTGATTCCACCCCCCTCCTTCCCCCCTCCAAAACAGCCTTAAAATGATTACAGATAAATCACATCTAAATTTCATCTGCCGCGATGGAGCTTAAAGTTAATGCTGCGAAAGAAAAATATTGCTTTTATACACATATATAAATCATCCCCCCCCCCCTCGCCCCCCCTCCCCCCCCGTCTGCAAAAAATAATAACAGTAATCCTCCCAGACTGATGCTGTAAACCTGAATTCTTAGAAAATATTCGGAATGCCATAGCGACCCCCTGGCAAACGCCAACAGAAATAAACTTGGTGAAAAATCCACGCTTCCCGAATAAATAATAGCAAATCTGCGTTTTATTCAGCATCTCCGCATGCACAGGTTAAACCGAAAGGAGCCGAGCTGCGACCGCGTCTATTTCTGGCCGCTCACATTCCCATTCGCTTTAATTGCACACGTCTAATATCTCCCCGTATTAAAGCATGTTTCCCTGCTTACGGCAGTGTCATATACATTTCTCACCTTTTAGGTTCTGGCTCACAGGAGCCCCTGCGACTTTGACAGCTGTCGCTTTGGCTGCACAGGAGACGAATCGCCCTCCTTTTGGTGCCAGAAGAAGCAGGAAATTAGCCAGGTTGCAAGTTGAAAATCTGCCACGCCAGTGCTTTGAATCCAATATGCCACACCTTCCAGCGGGGGAACTGGAAATTGCCATCCCGGATCTGTGTTCTAGGCGGCTGCTTATGCCGAACCTCCGCACACTTTGTTCACTATTGCCTTACAAAGAGCAAATGAAATGGGGATTGAAAGCCAGAGAGATCCGAAGCAGGACAGAGCTCAGCAAAAGAATGCGGCTCTATTCTCGCAAGGGAAATTATAAAAAAGTTCATGTTCACGGTTACCATCCACATGACCGACAACGACCAATGGAAAAACCGAACAACTCATAAAGTTGTATTGCAAAGTTGTAAATTTTCATAAACAACAACGGATTTATGGCCTTTTCCTCATCACTAAGAAGAGGCAGGTCTTAGAGAGGCGCCATCTTACCACAGACGCAGCCCCGGAGTTTTTTTTTTTTTTTTTTTTGTTTTTTTTTTTTTTACCAGACCTGGAGTTCGCACTAATTTTATTAAAATTGCAATTAGTCCATCGGCGGGGACCGAGCGCGGCGGTGAAGGGGAACTTCAGCTCAGACGATGCTCCCGTTCTGCTCTGCGTTCGGCCGACCGAATAAAGGCGCTTTTCGGGTTTCTTAAAAAAAATATTTTTTTGCTTTATTTTTTAATTTTTAATTTCCGATTTTTGATTTCTGACTTTTTTTTTTTTTTTCTTTCGTCATTGAAAACACTTTCTCGCCTCGACGTCGCGTGCTACACAGCAGAATGGATCTCATTCCTAAAGCGGGGCTGTTTTTCCCCTTTTTTTAGCCCCATTCCCGTGCCCCCCGGCCCCGGAAAGCCGCCCGCCCGCAGCCGAGCGTTCACCTCGGGAAGTTTCGCCCCTCACTTTTTGCTCCTTCCTAAATCTGGTTTCCCTACGTGCCAATGGGGCTCTGTCACGGTCGCCTGGGCCGGGCTCGGGCTTTCTAGAGGAGCCCGAAGCACGGTGGAAGGAAGCCCGGCCATAAAGAAGCTTTCCGCTTTATTAATCAACCGCGCTGGAAGAAATAAATTAATTTTAAAAGAGAGAGAGAGAGAAAAAAAAAAAGAACCACGAAGTCGAGATAGAGAAATTGACTGATCGCTGGCCATTCGTCACCTCGGATTATTTTATTCCTTTCGATCATGGGGGAAAAATAATAATAATAATGTTGTCGAAATTCTTCATTTGCGCGTGTGAATTATTTTTTATTCTCCCTTCGAACTGTTTCCCTAATAAAAATAAAAGCACAATGAATTGTCAACAAGCATCTTTATTTTCCGTGTGACATAAAACACATTTATCGTGGGGGATACTTGAACACGGGATCACTTCCAAAGAGAGTTCACAGACATTTTTTTTTTTTCACTTCCAATACTTACACGGCATATCCAAATGTTCACAACGAACACATCGAAACACATTGTAACATACAATTGTTTGAATAAACTTTAGCCAAACCTTCGAGACGGGTTTATACAGAGATCTGAACGATACGTCATGCGACAAAGTTTCCCAATCAATTACATACTTCCCAATTTATGACATGGTCTTACAAATGAGCTCCAAGACAAATATAAATGACAAAAAAAAAAAAAAAAAAAAAAATCGTTCAAATATACAATATCTGCTATCTTAGGAAAATTCACGGTATTACATATTAACACGTTGGGATCATCAGGACAAACAGATATTTGAAAGGCGATTACATGGTCATTTAAATTCGCTTTGCCAAGAACACTTTCAGCTATATTGAGTAAGATCAACCCAGGATAAGGAAACGGCCTTGAGCAGAGGCAGCCTAAGGTAGAAGCCCACGGTAGATACTAAACCGCTTTGTACAATATTGGCGTGTGCGTTCGCTCCCTCACTCCAGAGAGTAAAGGTTCGTGGACAGAGATATATTGCAGCATATGGTTTTCATTAATAATTGCTTTGGAATAAATATATTATTTTAAATTTAAATATATTCAGCCTTTACGGTACCAAATTCTATACCAAAGCTATCGATGCGTGCTTTTCGAACGACTGCGTTTATGTTTCTAAAAGCGTTTTGCAATTCACATTAGTACGTTATCTTCTTCTGACTACTAAAATACAGCATACTTTCGAAGATAGGTAGGCGGAGCAAGATATATAGGTAGTCTGAAAAATAGGTAGTACGACTCATTGCTGTGGATTGTAGTGGTTTGTGGCACATCTTTTTTTTTCCCCCCTCGCTTGCTGTTTTACCTTTTGTTAGTGTAGCTGTTAGTTATGGTACTTTCCTAACAATAATTAAAAGAAAAGATAAAGGAAAAAAAAAATAATACAAAAAAAGAAAAGTGCAGAGCTACTTATTCAAAATTAGGTAGTTTTCCTCAATACGAGCCTAATGCACTTTTCCCCTTACGACGTGATTGGGACTATTTAGTCAGGTAGTTACTTCGGAAGGTCACGGTGTACTTTATGTGCGAGCAGCAGTCCTCCCACCGAAACGTCCCCAAGAGAAACCCACCCGAGCGTGGGTGAACGAAAACTCAAATGATTGTAGGATGCTCTCAGGATATGCTACCACGGGGCGGGTTTGGGGAGGACGGGAGAGGGGAGAGAGGGCTGGAAGTCCAACCCAAGAGACGTTTTCATATTTGCAAACGCTCGCTTGCAAGACAGAACTAAAGGGAACTGATTAACTTTTTTTTTTTTTTCTTTTCTTTTTTAATAAAAACAGTGAATGTCTCTTTCTTTTTTTTTTCCTTTCTCTCTTTAAAGGGAGCTTTTACAGCTGTCACGTGTGTACGTTATTCTAAGAGATTGCTTCCTCGAATGGGACTCCCTAATCCTCCTCTTCTTCATCTTCTTCCACTTTCTCCACAGACGCTGCTGCTGACGTGGGCTCGTTGGGAGCCGGAGTGCTGGAGCTCTCCTCCTTGTGCTCCTTCTTCCACTTCATCCGCCGGTTCTGGAACCAGATCTTGATCTGCCGCTCCGTCAGGCAGAGGGCATGGGCGATCTCTATCCGCCGCCGCCGAGTCAGATAGCGATTGAAGTGGAATTCCTTCTCCAGCTCCAGGGTCTGGTAGCGGGTGTAGGTCTGGCGCCCTCGCTTCCTATCGGGACCTGAAGGCAGGCAGGCAGGCACACACGCCCAGCAGTTAGGCAGGAAGAGAAGAGGAAAGTTTTATCTTTTTTATTTCATCCCCATTTTTTTTCCAACGTAAAAAACAAACACCAAAACAAAACCGGCCCAAGCGAGAGTGAATAATCCCC